ATAGTGCAACAATGATTTTTTAAGAGTAGATTCCTGGGGCACCTGGGTGGCTCAGTCAGTTAAGCATCTGACTTCAGCTCAGGTCATGATCTCACGGTTCGTGGGATTGAGCCCTGCATCGGGCTCTGTGATGACAATCAGCTCAGAGGCTAGAGCCTGTTTTGGATTCTGTGCCTCCCTTTCTCTCTGACCCTACTCTGCTCACACTGTCTCTCTCTCTCTCTCTCTCTCTCTCTCAGAAATGAATAAGACATTAAAAAGTTAAAAAAAAAAGAGTAGATTCCTTAATGCCCCCAACCCATTTAGCTCGTCCCTCCTCCCACAACCCCTCCAGTAACCCTCTATTTGTTCTCCATATTTAAGTCACTTATGTTTTTGTCCCCTTCCCTGTTTTTATATTATTTTTGCTTCCCTTGCCTTATGTTCATCTGTTTTGTATCTTAAAGTCCTCATATGATTGAAGTCATATGATATTTGTCTTTCTCTGACTAATTCACTTAGCATGATACCCTCAAGTTCCATGCATGTAGTTGCAAATGGTTGGATTTCATTCTTTTTGATTACTGAGTAATACCCCATTGTATATATATACATACCACATCTTCTTGATCCATTCATCCATTGATGGACATTTGGGCTCTTTCCACACTTTGGTTATTATGGACAGTGCTGCTATAAACACTGGGGTGCATGTGTCCCTTTGAAACAGCACACCTGCATTCCGTGGATAAATACCTAGTAGTGCAATTGCTGGGTCGTAGGGTTTAATGTTTATTTTTTTAAGTTTCAAATTAAAAAAAAAAATTAATGAAAATATAATGAACTGTGATATGATGACCTGAGCCAAAGTCAGACGCTCAACCAACTAGGCCAGCCAGGAGCCCCAGTGGTTGTTTATTTTTCAAAGAGCACCCACGGGGGAGAGGCAGAAGGAGAGAGGGGGACAGAGGATCCAATTCAGGCTCTGTGTTGACAGCAGGAGCCCGAGGAGGGGCTCAAACCATGAGATCACGATCTTAGACTGAACTACCCAGACACCCCTCTGATAGTCTTTTTAAAAACAGCTTCAGGGGCGCTTGGGTGGCTTAGTCGGTTAAGCATCCGACTTTCGGTTAGGTCATGATCTCACGGTTCATGAGTTCGAGCCCCGCGTCGGGCTCTGTGCTGACAGCCAGCTCAGAGCCTGGAGCCTATTTCGGAGTCTGTGTCTCCCTCTCTCTGACCCTCCCCTGCTCACGCTGTCTCTCTCTCTCTACTAGAAATAAATAAAAATATAAAACAAAACAAAACAAAAAAAACCAACTTCACTGGGGTGCCTGGGTAGCTCAGTTGGTTAAGCATCTGACTTTAGGTCAGGTCAGAATCTCATGGTTTGTGAGTTAAAGCACTGAGTCCAGCTCTTTACTGACAGCTGCTTCTGATTCTACTGTCTCCCCGTCTCTGCCACTCCCCTGCTTGGGCTCTGTCTCCTTCATAAATAAATAAATAAATAAAAACAGCTCCATTGACATATAATTCACATGCCATACAGTTTACTAATTTAAAGTATATAATTCAGTAATGTTTAGTATATTCATAAAGTTGTGTAAACATCACCACAATCTACTTTAGAACGTTTTCATCATTCCAAAAGGCAACTTGTTTGCAGTATCTATCAGTAGTCACTCACTATTGTCTCTCCAATCATCTAGTCTTTATCAATAATCAACAAACTACTTTCCATCTCTATGGATTTGCCTATTATGGACATTTCATATAAATGGAATCCTATAATATGCAATCCTTTGTAACTAGCTTCTTCCATTTAGCATGTTTTTCAAGAAACACCTGTATTATAGCATATCAGTACTTTAGTTCTAATGAGACAAATAATGAGACAAATAATGAGACAGATATATCACAATTGATTTATCCACTCATCAGCTGATAAACATTTGGGTTATTTCTGCTTTTTGGCCATTAAGATAAATGTTGCTGTGGGCGTACCCAGGGCCCAGCTGGTTGTGTCTGACTTGGGCTCAGGTCATGATCTCACGATTAGTGGGTTCGAGCCCCACATCAGGCTCTGTGCAAACAGCTCACAGCCTGGAGCCTGCTTCAGATTTTGTGTCTCCCTCTCTCTCTGCCCCTCCTCCACTTGCGTGCTCTCTCTCTCAAAAATAAGTAACAATAAAATTTTTAAAAAAGAAGAAAAATGCTGCTATGAACATTCATGTTTAAGTTTTTGTGTGGACACACACTTGTTTTCCTTTATTTTGGGTATATAGCTCTGAGTGAAACTACTGGTTCTACTAGTAACTGTTTCACCTCCTGAGGAACTACCAGACTGCTTTCCAAAGTAGATGTACCATTTTACATTCCCACCAGCAGTTCATCAATGTTCTAATTTCCCCACATCTTCATTAATACTTGTTATTGTTTGTCTTTTGATTATAGCCATGTTTGGGGGTGTGAAGTAGTCCTTTTTTAAGTTAGCATCTGTTATTTTTTTTAATCAAATATGTTTTTATCTCTCTGAAGTTATTATGTATTAAATTCTCTTTGTTCCCTGAATTGTCTCTATTTTCTTAACACTCATCTTTCTCAATTGTTTTGGGTTTCTATCTTTCCATTTGGAGGCATTCACAAATATTGATGATCGCTGGCTGGCCATTTATGTTTAAAACTCAAAAATATTAAAAAACCTGGGATGCCTGGGTGGCTCAATCAGTTAAGCATTTGATTCTCAATTTAAGCTCAGGTCATGACCTTGTTTCATGAGTTTGAGCACCATATTGGGCTCCACACTGACAGTTAAGAGTCTGCTTGGGATTCGCTCTCCCTGTCTTTCTGCCCCTCCCCCATTCACACATGTGCTTTCTCTCTCTCAAAAAAAAAAAAAAAAAACCTTAAAAATCCTGTTTATGAATGGAGTTTTCTGATGTACAGCAATCCTGCTTTTTCACCGGGAACCCCATATACTAACACTTACAGATATTCTTTCTTGAGCTACTTAGATTTTCCAGAGTAGTTTATTTTGTCTCCGGTCTGGGGCTATTTTATACTAGACTGCAAGACCTCTGGGGAAAAAAAGCAGGTAATGGAGCTGGTATTTCACCACACAGCATAAAAATATTAACTTGATCTTTCTGACTTTTGACCTGCACACCAACCCTACTAAACACCCAAAGTGAAGTCCCTGAGTACAGAGCTTCTATAGTTTAATGTCTCCCTAGCTGACACCTCTAGTTTCCAAGTATGTGGGTAAAAATTTAGCTGCCTGATTAGATAGAAGAGGGTGTGTGGTTTTTTTTCTTAATTTTTTTTATTTATTTCTGAGAGAGAGATAGAGACAGCGTGAGCAGGGGAGGATCAGAAAGAGAGGGAGACACAGAATCCAAAGACAGTCTCCAGGCTCTGAGCTAGCTGTCAGCACAGAGCCCGATGTGGGGCTGGAACCCCCAAACTGTGAGATCATGACCTGAGCCAAAGTTGGACGCTTAACTGACTGAGCCACCCAGGCACCCTGAGAGTGTCTGTTCTTGAAAAGATGTTCAACGTCACTCATAATCAGGGAACTACAAATCAAAACCACACTGAGATACCACTTCACATTGGTCATAGTAGCTAAAATTAACAATTCAGGAACAGATGCTGGCAAGCAAGTGGAGAAACAGAGACCCTCTTTGCACTATTAGTGAGAATGCAAACTGGTATAGCCGCTCTGGAAAACAATGTGGTGATTCTCAAAAAAATTAAAAATAGAACTACCCTATGACCCAGCAATAGCACTGCTAGAAATTTACCCAAGGGATATAGAAGTGCTGATGCATAGGGGCACGTGTACCCCAATGTTTACAGCAGCACTTTCGACAATAGCCAAATCATGGAAAGAGCCCAAATGTCCATCAACTGATGAATGGATAAAGATGTGGTTTTATACACAATGGAATACTACTTGGCAATGAGAAAGAATGAAATCATGTCATTTGTAGCAACATGGATAGAACTGGAAGGTATTATGCTGAGTGAAAAAGTCAGGCAGAGAAAGACAGATACCATATGTTTTCACTCATATGTGGAACTTGAGAAACTTAACAGAACACCACGAGGGAAGAGAAGGGAAAAAATTGTTTCAAACAGAGAGGGAGGGAGGGAAACCATAAGAAAATCTTAAATACAGAGAACAAACTTAGGGTGGATGGGGGTTGGGCAGGTGAGAGAGGAAAATGGGTGATGGGCATTGAGAAGGGCACTTGTTGGGATGAGCACTGGCTATTGTATGTAAAGCCATGAACCAAGGGAATCAACCCCCAAAACCTAGAGTACAATGTACATACTAGCCACTGTACACAATTAGCCAATTTGACAATAAATTTTATTTTTAGAAATAGAAATAAATAAATAAAATTAAAGTCTGTGTTCTGCTTTTAAAGAAATCTTCTTGTTTATGGGTACATACTTGAACACTGAATGCTGCAGTATCAGTATCCTTCAGGTTCTGGTTTTTCTCAATTCTGTGGAACAGATAATCTCCCTTTTCATTCCCAGTTCTGTCTCTAGACACAATGATACTTATGTCTTTCCATGTACTACATCCTTATTTAAAATTCTTATTTGCCTCTATCTTCTTTCCTATACTTTGACTTAATGGACTTACCCTTTAAAAAAAAATCTTTATTGACATGTATATTAAATTTTAAGAAGGACATATGATTATCAGGATCATCTATGTTTAATGTTTTTTCTTTTATTATGAAAAGTTTAATCAAGTGAAAATTAAGTACAAGCATGAAGTTTACATATTAAACACTAATTTTAACCACAATTCTGATATGCAAATTGGTGATATCAAATTCAAATTATTTAAAATATTCCATTCAACAAAACATAATTAGAATCAAAATAAAAAATTAATATGACTTTAAAGTGGTTTCATCCTACTTCTTATGTCATGAACTTATCTCAAACATTTCTAGTTAAAAGTTAATTAGGGTCTACCAATTCCTTAAGTTACTTACCTCTTCTTTTCCTAATGTTACTAGAACTTCTTCATTCAGAGGAATTACTGCAGGAAAAAAAAAAAAAAAAAAAAAAGCCAAAATTATATAAATGCTTGGTTAATTCTCAAATATAAAGAATTTGATTTTGTGATTTCTAAGATATCTCTCTTTCCTTATTTAATACCTTTACATATATAACCAACACATACTTTTAGACAATATATATAACCAATATATAATTTTAGACAAACATGACATTTGTTCATTTTGGGTTTTATGCCTTTTGTTTTCTAAGCCCTCAAAACCAAAATTGGTTAAGCATCCAACTCTTGATTTAAGCTAAGATCATGATTTCATGCTTCTTGAGATCAAGCCCCATGTTGGATTATGCACTAAAAGCACAAAGCCTACTTGAGATTTTCTCTCTTTCTCTTTCTCAAAATAAATAAACTTAAAAAAATCAAGAATCTATACTGTTTCCCTAAATATATTTCTCGGTAATTATATGATCTTATGCATGTGTATGTGCATGTATATTATCTATACATACAAATGAAAGGGTTATTCATTTTGTTATCGCTTTACAAGGGGATATCACACACATTATTCTTATTTTTACTCAACAAAAATTCCATGCAAACCCCTTCTATTTTGATATAAGTCTAATTCATAATTTTAAATCACTTCATAATATTCCACAGGGTGAATGTACCATAGAGTATTGAGTAATATCAGTACTGACTGAACATTAACTTTGAACCCAACTTTAGTCACAAAAAACAATGACTCTGTAAGCATTTTTAAATTTATGTCTTTATGCACTAGTGCTTTCATTTGGGAGGATAAATTCCCAGAAATGGAATTTCATAGAAGGAAATGTGTATTTTGAATTTTAATATAGGATGCCAGATTCTTTTCTAAAAAATTACTATTAGCAATAAGAAACAGTAAAATATATTATAAACTCTTCTAAACTTTTTGCCAGTTTATGAGTATCAACTAACATTTCATTTTAATTCTGTATAGCAAAATTAAATTCTTTTTTTAAAATATTTTTTCTAGGGGCGCCTAGGTGGCTTAGTCGGTTAAGCGTCCGACTTTCGCTTAGGTCATGATCTCGCGGTTCCTGGGTTCGAGCCCCGTGTCGGGCTCTGTGCTGACTGCCAGCTCAGAGCCTGGAGCCTGTTTCAGTCTGTGACTCCCTCTCTCTCTGACCCTCCCCTGCTCAGGCTGTCTCTCTCTCTCTCTCTCCTAGAAATAAATTTTAAAAAACATTAAAAAAAATAAATAAAATATTTTTTCTAGCAACTTTTTAAAATGTTTTATTTATTTCTGAGAGAGAGAAAGAGAGACAGCGTGAGCAGGGGAGGGTCAGAGAGAGAGGGAGATACAGAATCTGAAGCAGGTTCCAGGCTGTGAGCTGTTAGCACAGAGCCTGACACGGGACTCAAATCCACCAACCATGAGATCATGACCTGAGCTGAGGTCGGACACTGAACTGACTGAGCCACCCAGGCGCCCCAAAATTAAATTCTTATAGTTAGAAAAGTTAACCTTTGTATTTTAAGTTTACCTTTCCTAACAAAGTACTATCTAAAATTTCTCAAATAATATGCTACTGAAAACTTTCTAATCTACCTACTATTCTAGAGAGTGCTTCTGACAACAAAGAGTTCCCACATGTGCTTCATAGGACATGTATTAGAACTGATTACTAGAAGCCCCAGGATGGCTCCCAAATCATTTCAACAAATACAATGAGAAGGATTCTAAGAATGTAAACTTAATAATCTCCTTCTTGTCTACTGTGGCTATGAGTAGCATTTCACTACAGATTGAAATAATCATTTAAGCCCATACAATATATAGCACCTTCTAAGGATATAAATATACTTTAAATCCTTTCAGTGGGACAGTCTATGGGACTGGCAACCTTGGGCAAAATGCTTATTTGACCTATGGATCATCCTGTGTGTTTGGTGTTAGCAGTACAAAATGTGTACATAAAGGAAGATGATAAGAAAAATAAAAATTGAAAATCCCTGATACATAGCATCAAAATGAATAAAATACTTTGGAATAAATTTAACCTAGGAGGCAAAAGACTATGCTGAAAAACTACAAAATGTTGCTGAAATAAATTAAAGATATCACAACAGATAGAAAAAGTCCCATGTTCAAGAACTGTTAAGACTTAACATTGTTAGACATCAATCTGATACAATCACTATCAGAATCCCAATAATATTTGTGTAAGAAAAGAAAAATACACCCTAAAATTCACATGGAATCTCAAAGGACACCAAATACCAATTATCTTGAAAATGAAGAACAAAGTTGGAAGTCTTATACTTCCTAATTTCAACTTACTAAAAGGCTACAGTAATCAAAAATGTGCTACTGACATAGAGACAAACATATAGACTAACAGAAGAGCATAGAGAATCCAGAAATAAAATCACAACATATGGTGAAGTGAGTTTTGACAACTAAACAGGGGAAAAAACAGTATTCCCAACAAATAGTATTGGAAAAATTAGATAATATGCATGCAAAAGAATGTAGTTGGACCTTTAACTTTCAAGTTTGAAAATGCCCATTATTAATTTAAAGAAAAATCTTGGAGAGCTTGAGTGGCTCAGTCAGTTGAGCATCTGACTTCAGCTCAGGTCATGTCCTCGTGGTTTGTGAGTTTGATCCCCACATCGGGCTCACTGCTGACAGCACAGAGCCTGCTTCAGATCCTCTGTCTCCCTCTTTCTCTGCACCTAGCCCACTCACACTCTCTCAAAAATAAATAGACATTAAAAAAAATCTTGAACAAGAGGTAAAAAAGACCATTATAACAAACTAGTGGATTGGTAATGAAGGCCTAAAGTAAATGTGTGGCAGTAGGGCTCAATATTTCATGATCGGCTATATGTGAAACATGAAAAAGGAAAAATCTAAAAGGACTCTTAGCTTTATGGCTGATCAAATAAATTCCATTCAGTGGATAAGAGAATGGGGAGGTCAATTTATAAATCTCAAGAATCTATAGAATATTTTGGAAAAGATATCTAGAAAGTAGAGAGATATGTAATGTGATGTTACAAAGAAATCTGGTCTGGATACACAGGTTTGGAAGTTGTTATGAAAACTGTGTCCTCCTCCCCACCAAAATTCATATTTTGAAGTTCTAATCCCCAGTACCTCAAAATGTGCTTATATTTGGAAATGGGTCTTTAAAACTGTGATTCTGTTAAAATGAAGTCATTAGGGTGGGCTCCATTCCATTATGACTGGCATCTTTATACAAAGAGATTAGGACACAGACAAGCAACCGTGTGAAGACACAGGGAGAATATGACCATCTATACGCCAAGAAGAGAGGTTTCTGAAGAAACCAATCTTGACAACACATTGATCTTGGACTTATAAACAAAAGAATTGTGAAAAAATTAATTTCTGTTGTTTAAGCAACCCAGTCCATAGTACTTTGTTATGGCAACCCTAGCAAACTGATACAGAAGTCATTACTACAGATATAACATAAAAACAAAAGCAGAAAATATAATGCTGGAGTAGCACACTGAGTAGGAAGTTAAAATTGCTGAGCACAGCCCTCTAAAAAATAGCAAATTTTAACAGCACAGTATAAATAGCCTTTGAGATACTCAATATAATGCTGAAGAGGCAATAGAATACACAGTTTAATGCAAATTAAAAGATATATATACATATCAAGTGCTAAAAGTAAAAAGACTACTACGTGGTAGTAAAGATGTAGAACAGTGGTGGACGTGAATATACTAGTTAAAATCAAGAATGCAGATGAAATTATCTAGAAAGAGAATGAACAGAAGAATCACAACAACTGGGATAGACAAAGGTAAGCCTACAAAGGAGACTAAAAAAGGAAGTGGGAGGACCTAAAGGAAAGGCAGCAAATGGGCAGGAGAAAGAAGGGAGGTGTTAAAAGAAAGAGGATACAATCTATTAAAATACCAAAAACATACATATATGGGGCACAGAGAAAAGTAAGCTTTCATAATAAAAAACTATTTCCTAGCTGGGTATTTTAACTACAGATTTTTAAGCCATCTTCTATTTCTTCAGTAAAGGCAAATATATAGCTGGTCCCCATTGGATAAGTCAAAAGGCAACATACAGTCTATGTAGCCCTTATATAAATAAGTAGCTAAAATAACTTTTCTCTTAGGTATGTTTCATTGATTAAGAAGCAATTTATAGTTTCTATTGAGCATGTGACATATGATGATCAAATGAAGGTTATAATAAGGTCTGCATAATTTAAGATTATTATGTCACACAAATATATTCATCTATAATAAAATGAGCACAAAATAATGTATACAAATGAAAGAAAAATTTAGGCAATTTCAACAAGGCTAAATGGATCTTGAAATTCTTCTTAAATCAATCTGTCATTAATTTGTTTATAAAAATATAAACCTAAAAATAAGAACCTTACTTTCAGGATTTTCTTTCTGCCATTGACTGAGTTCAGCAGTCAAACATTTCACCTGCATAATTAATAATGACAGCTATAAAAAAAGATCACAAAACAAAGTCAGTTTTTATGGAATATTCATAGATGAAAGTATAGACATTCTAAATAATTTAACACAAGTTTCTATCATAAATGACTAATGTAAGAGCCATCCAAATTATAAAAAACTGACACTCCAAACACAATTCTGCTTTAAACCATACTAATTATAGCTCAAGTCTTAAAAGTTCTCAATTCTACTTTACCACTCAAACTAAAAGAAAAAGATCTATATTACTTTTATTTCCTAAATTAATACTACTGTAAAAATATAAGGGCACCTGTCTGGCTCAGTCGGTGGAGCATGGAATTCACAACCTTAGGGTTGTGAGTTTGAGCCCCACGTTGGATACTACTCATGCTCTATCTCTCTTGCCTCAAAAATAAATCAACTTGAAACAAACTTAATTTTTTTTAAACTACATATATAGTTGTATATATGTAAAATGAGATTAGTTCCACAGGCTACATAAAAAGCCAATTTTACTACACAAGCGTATGACTGTTGATACCAGCTCAGGTCATGATGTCATCATCCTGAGACTGAGCCCCACATCGGTATGGAGCCTGCTTGGGATTCTCTTTCTCTCTCTCTCTGACCCTCCTCCACTCACATGTGCTCATATTCTCTCTCTCTCAAAATACATAAACTTTAAAAAATGGATTGAGGTTCATTAAAATTTTAAAGTTAATAAGTATGTAGGAAAGAGTAAACAAACCAAGCCTGAAGTTATTTAAAGGCTTGCTTTCAAGGTTGGTTCTTAGCTGGCATGTGGAACTTATATTTTGAAATGGTTCCCACCAACCTGTTAAGAGTGACTCATCGTGCCTAAAATGTTTTTGCAAATTGCTTTTCTTCTGGAAGTGTGGTATTTTGATATCTGCTAGGTAGAGCGTTATCTATGTGACTAATCCTCACAAAAACACCTTGGGTGCTGAGTCTTTCATGAGGTTCCATGGTAGAAAACATTTCACACAGTCACAACTCCCTGGGGGAATTAAGCACATCCTGGATGACTCCAATAAAAGAGGATTCCTGAATGCTTATGTCTGGTTTCCTGTGGACTTCCCACGGTCCTTTTCACTTTGCTGATTTTACTCGGTATCCTCTTAACGTAATATATCTCAGTCATGAATATAACTATACACTGAGTTTTGTGAGTCCCTCTATGAGTTACTCTGAGTCTTGTGAATTACTCCTGAAAGTTGCCTTGGGGACCCTCAACATAATAAGAGAAGATATATTTTTTTTAAGTTTATTTAGTTTTAAGAGAGAGGGAGAGACAGAATCTCAAGCCAGCTCCATGCTGTTAGTGCAGAACCCAACACAGGGCTCAAGCTTACGAATCATGAAATCATGGCCTGAGCTGAGATTAAAAGTTGATCTTAACTGTGGCTTAGTCAGTGGATTAACTGACTGAGCCACCAGGTCCCCAGTAGGAAAAGATATTTTGTGGATCCCTCAGATAATGTTATTATTGACTATCTCAAGATCCTGATTCTTTACAACTATATAAGCACTTCCACCAAAATTCTGGTTCACTGCATAAAAAAATCATTCAGGAAACTTACAAGTGCAATCCCTACTGACTCTGATTCACTAGGTCTCAATTTCTATGATATAAGAACCACATTTCCCAAGAAAACCAGATGATAGTTTATTTACTGTATATTGCTGTATCAAATACAATAGTCAGTTTTATACTTTATAAGAGAACACCTTATTTATTGATAAATTCAAAAATTTTTTATAAAAGATTTTAATACTTTATCACCAATTTTTAAAGACCTGATATAAAAGGAACTTCCAAAAGTGACAAGTTAGTTTTTTCCTCTTCTTTTTCTCTCTCATTCATTTTTTTTCAGTATTATTATGCTCATAGATTTTTATTTTTATTATTATTATAGTCAATCAAGGCCATTATTCCTTTTCATGCTCAAATGCTATCAAATTTGCGTTTTGTTGTTGTTTCTTGTGAACAGTGCCTAAATCTTTATTTTTCACAACCTATGTTTTTTTCAAGTTAGTTTTACACTGAATGACACAAAAGGAAATTTAAATTACTAATAGTTCACATGTAAACTTGATTCCAATTTTAATGAAAAAGAAGTAGAAAACAAGGCCCTCAAAAAAATTCATTCTGCTCTCCAAACTGTCTCGGCTATTGACTTCAACTGCCTGCTGCTCTAACAGGCCATGAACAACAACCGCCAACTGCAACTCGCTGATGGCAGGCACACACACACACCTTCCTCACCTGCTGCCCTTGTAACAATGAACTCAGGTTTAAACGTAAAGTGCGTAATTTGGAACTCAGTAGTGCCTTCAATTAGTTCTTATATTTTCTGATATGTTCCTACAAGTTTTAGAGAAATTTCTTTAGAATCATTTGTATATTTGACATTGTTCTTTAAAATTGTCACTAAAACATTTTTTAATTTTTTAGATTGTCAAATACATCTAAGTTTTCTAATTCCTAGGTTTGTACTATTAGCCAAGAAATTTCTCCTGTCCCTAGACTGCACAAATAGTCTCCTAACTTTTCTTGCAAGACTTCTATGGCAATCTATCTAGAAAATATGCTTATATAATGAAAAACAGAGATCCAATTTTATTTTCACCCAAATGGATAACCAGTTGTACCACTATCATTTATTTACAATTCATCCTTTTCCCACAAACTGGAACTATCATTTTTGTCATAATTTAAATTCTTAATCTGTTACACTGATCCTTTCATATATTCCTAAACCAATTTCTTAGGGCTTTGATTATGTAAACAGATATCTATCTTAATCTTTGTTTAAGCTTACAGTGAAGTCAGTTAAAGTTCTATACATACAGTAAAAAAAAAAAAATTAACAAAACAAAACTTGCTACTATACCTAACACAAAGCAGGACAATATGTGTCCTAATTATTAACAAGGTATCTTAATTGCAATTATTCACTCAAGAGTTAAATATACGTGTCACTGTTAAGAGATAATAATAAAGATAATATTCTTTATTTAAATATATTGATTTACATTAAATATACAGTAAATATATTTATTATATTTCATTCAAAAAGTATTTAGAATACTTCTCTTAAAGCAGAAAGAGTATTTTCCAAGTGATTAAGCATATGGATATCAACAAAGCTATTATATGTGGTTTAATATAGATAAATAATATTCTTATCCAAAACACAATGAATTAAACTTAACTATTTTTAGGAAGAAATAATAGGATTCATACCTGAGCATTTGAATCAGTGAGTGTCTCAGTTCCAACAAGTGATAATTTTTTCTGACACTTTATTTAAAAAGTAAATAAAACAAGTAAATAAAAACAAGTCACACACTATAACCTTTTATATATAATAAACAATTCCCTTTCCCTCTTTTATATCAATGTAGTATTATACAAATATCTGATTTAAAAGAAGTGTTTAAGTTCCTCACTAAGAAAAAAAAAAAAAAAGATTATTTATTTATTTAGAGAGAGAGTGAATACATGAGCCAGAGAGGGCAGAGAGACAGCAAGAGAGAAGGTATCCCAAGCAGGCTCCACACTCAGCATGGAGGTCTAAAGAGGGCTCGATGTCACGATCAATTGTGATATCATGACCTGAGCTGATATCAAGAGTCAGACGTTTAACTGAGTCACCCAGGCACCCCAAGTTCCTCACTTTCTAAGCAAGATGATCATGAAGGCACCCAAACAGGTCCCAAGGTCAATATAGCAAAAGTAAAAGGGGATATTAGATTCTATACAAAATGAAATAATGAGCATAAGAAATAAAGATTAAAACAAATACAAACAAATACTAGGGGGAATTAGAAGTTCAATAATGGAGGGGCGCCTGGGTGGCTCAGTCGGTTAAGCATCCGACTTCAGCTCAGGTCATGATCTCACAGTTTGTGGGTTCGAGCCCCACATCAGGCTCTGTGCTGATGGCTCAGAGCCTGTTTCAGATTCTATGTCTCCCTCTCTCTCTGCCCCTTCCCCACTCATTCTGTGTCTCTCAAAACTGAATAAAATGCTAAAAAAAAAAAAAAGTTAGATAATGGAAAAATAGGAAATAAGAGAATAAGAAGGAAAGCACCATAGAAAAATAACAAAAGAGGTAAGAAAATGGTTAAGATCATAAGAAAATAAAGCCTTCAGGAGATATTGTTTTTGTTCCATTCAAAAAAATCCTACAACTATTCACAGTAATTATATGACTTAAAATATGGGTAATTTAAATTTTACTTGTGTGCTTACTTCTAGTTGCAGTATCTTTTTACAAAAAATTGTTCATTATTTTTAAATTCACATTCCTATACTGAAAAATTAACAAAAGCATAAAAAGGAATTATTTAAATTATCTTGAAAATACACTAATCATAAAGAGTACCAAGGATTTATATTAAAAAATAATTTTAAAGAAGAAAAAAGGTACGAAAAGCAAATAATAACCCGCTTTAATCTACAATCTTATAGCAAAGAATGGGATAAGAAAAGTCTGTGGCTTGTTTCAAACATTATACTATTTTAAGTAGAAAAAATTTTAAAAAACTTTTTTTTAATGTTTTATTTATTTCTGAGAGAGAGCAAGAGCGAGAGAGAGAGAGAGAGTGTGATCAGGGGAGCATCAGAGAGAGAGGGAGACACAGAATCTGAAACAGGCTCCAGGCTCTGAGCTAGCTGTCAGCACAGAGCCTGACGCGGGGCTCAAACCCAAGAACCATGAGGTCATGACCTGAGCCTAAGTGAGACACTTAATCAACTGAGCCACCCAGGTGCCCGGAAAAAACTTTTTTTTTAATTATTTTTTTTTTGATACAGAGAAAGAGACAGATCATGAGCAGGGGAGGGTCAGAAGAGAGAGGGAGACACAGAATCAGAAGCAGGCTCCAGGCTCCAAGCTGTCAGCACTGAGCCTGATGAGGGGCTCGAACCCACAAACTGGGAGATCATGACCCAACCCTGAGTTACATGCTTAACCGACTGAGTCACCCAGGTGTCCCTAAGTAGAAAAAACTTTTACCAACACAGAAGTATATCAAAAGTGATTCTATCTCACTAATTCAACATTTCAAAGATAACATTTTCTATATTAATTCATATTTTCACTCAACCCCATAATTATGTATCCTCAGCACTTCTCTATTCTCTATCTTAGGAAATAACCTGACCAACCTCTTAGTGGCTCAAATCAGAAACCTGAAAGTATTCATAATTTCACTTCATTTCACAACAATTAAGGTCCAAGTCCTTTGGCCCTACCTCCTTAGTAGCTCCTAAATCCTTCTTCTATTTGCAGTGACAGGATTTGGCCCTACAGTACTGCTTATCAGGATTAGTAAGTACTTGAGCATCCCATGTTTCTTCAAAACAACTAAGCAATTTTCTCAAACTGCATCTCATGTTACTTCATGTTTATAACCCTTTAATGGCTCCCCATAATATAAACTCAACAAATTCTTCCTTTCTTGCTCCTAATTACATTTCCAACCTTACTCCACAGGTCCATCTTCTCCCAATTTACCAAGTCATAATATTCTACCTAGAGTTCTCTAAACTCTTCCAACCCTATATATTTTGTTCCTTCTGCTTTGTATACTTCTCCTACTTTCAGAAGCTAATTCCTATTTATCCTTTAGAAATGAATTCAGTTATTATTGCCTTTAGAAAGCTATCCTTGACCCTTTCTGTCTAGGTTTACTACTCATTGTAAGTAGTCTTTGCATTTCCACAATACTCCTAACTTAATAACTACTACCTCTACTACATGACAATCTCCTTGAGGGCAGGGATTGTCATAATTTTTTCTCTTTATATAGCTCACCTGGCATAAAGTTTCTTGAATAAATGCTTACAGGTCTAAAAGCTATATAAATTTTTATTGTATAATATAACAGCTTTCAGGAACCAACATAATTCTTTTCCTTAAGTCTGTTATTGAAATGGAAAGAAATCTTATAGTAATTAATATATATATATATATTTATATATATATATCACTTTTACCTCTTGGTACTTACTTCTTCCATGTCTTTCCACATTTCTTCACATTCCTTAATAAGTTCTTCTTCAGCATTTGTAACATCTTCCATATCTCTACTACTATCTGGATCTAGATCTTGCTGACTCAGTGACATGTCCCTTGTGATCTTCTTAGCCTTATAAGAAAAACTGAAGTAAAAATATGTATTCATTTAACAATATTTGTTGAACACCTATCACCTGCCAGAACAAAATGGGCAAAAATCCTTCCCTACCATGTAACTTATATTCTAGTTAAGAAAAAGATACAATAAATTAGTTATAAATTTATAAGTAGAAGTATATTATATATATATGTGTATATATACACATATATACACATGTATATACACACACATATATATATATCAATTTATAAGTGGAGATAGTTTTATGTAGGAAAGCAAGACAGGGAAGAAAATAGGAAGTGCTTGGGTAAGGGTAGTATAATTTTACATAATGTGGTCATTTAAGGTCATTGAGAAGTTGATAATTGAGCAAAATATATGAAGGAGATAAAAAAGCAAGACATGGGGATACGTAGAGGAAGAGGCTCCAGGCAGCGAACTGCAAGTGTAAGGGCCCTGGAGGAGGAATATGATCTCCATGTTCCTAGACCAGTAAGGCAGCCAGAGTAACTGAAACAAGGTAAGGCAGAGAACATAAGATGATGTCAGAGAGATTTAGGGATTAGATTATGTGTGCTTTGTAGGCTATTTTAAGGACTTTGGGGGAGATGATAAGCAATTACAGGATTTTCAATGGAAAAATGACACAATTTGCATTATATTTTAACAGTACAACTCTGGTTAACAACAACCAATAAGGACAGAAACAGGAAAATCAGTTAGAAAGCTGTTACAATGATCCAAGCAACTTTTTAGGTAAGCAAATGGAAAGATAGAGCTGCCAGCTGGTTAATGAGATGGGGAAGACAATGGAAGAAACAGATTCAGCTAGATATAGGAAGGTGATGATTAAAAATCCAATTTTGTACTTGCTAAATATAAGGTGTTCATTAGTGTAAATGATGATTAAGCAACTGAATGTACATGTATGGAGTCCAAGGGAAAGTTTTGAGCTAGAATTTGAGTCATCACCATACAAGATATTTAAAGCCATAAGGCTAGATGAGATCACAAAAGCAAGAGCATACAGAAATCAGAAGAGTTCCAGACCTGGAGAGAATAAGCAAGAACCACTGAAAGTGTCTGAGAAGTAGCACCCTATAAGGTAAAAAGAAAATTAAGGGTATAATACCCTGAAATTCAAATTAAGAAAGTATTAAAGAGGGGCGCCTGGGTGGCTCAGTCAGTTAAGCGTTTGACTTTGGTCCAGGCCATGATCTCGTGGTTTGTGAGTACAAGCCCCGCGTCGGGCTCTGTACTGACAGCTCAGAGCCTGGAGCCTGTTTGGATTCTGTGTTTCCCTCTTTCTCTGCCCCTCCCCTGCTTGCTCTCTACCTCTCTTTCTCTCAACAATAAAAAACCATTAAAAATTTAAAAAAAAAAAAAAAAAAGAAAGTATTAAGGAAAGGAGTATCAAATATCAGAGACAGGTCAAGTAAGATAAAAACAGAGAACTGACGATTTACTTAACAACATGGAGAGAGGACTGTATTTTCCAAAAAGAATCACAGCCATATTTCAGGTTATCACTCCCTGTTCAGAGGCAGAGCCTATTTATCCTCCTCATGAACCTGAGGTATGACTTTCTGACTGCCTTTATGAATAGAATACAATGGAAGTAATTTCCAAGACTAAGTCATAAAGGGTAATAGCACTTATACCCCTGTCTCAGAACACTCACCCTTACAAACCAGTGACCATGCTGTGAAGAAGCTCAACTAGCACAAATGTTTGTTTGCTTTTTAATGTTTTTGAGAGCAAGTGAGCATGTGTGAGTGTGGGAGGGGCTGAGAGAGAGAGAGGGAGAAAAGGATCTGAAGCAGGCTTCCTGGTGACAGCAGAGAGCCCAGTGTAGGGCTCGAATTCAGAAACTGGGAGATCATGACCTGAGCTAAAGTCAGATTCTTAACTGACTGAGCCACCCAGGAGACATCGTATTTGTTCCATTCAAAAAAATCCTACAACTATTCACAGTAATTATATGACTTAAAATATGGGTAATTTAAATTTTACTTGTGTGCTTACTTCTAGCTGCAGTATCTTTTTACAAAAAATTGTTCATTAGTTTTAAATTCAAATTCCTATATAAAAAACTATCAAAAGCATAAAAAGAAATTATTTAAATTATCTTGAAAATACACTAATCATACAGAGTACCAACGATTTACATTAAAAAATAATTTTAAAGAAGAAAAACAGGTACGAAAAGCAAATAATAACCCGCTTTAATCTACAATCTTACAGCAAAGAATGGGATAAGAAAAGTCCACGGCTTGTTTCACACATTATGCTATTTTAAGTAGAAAAAGAAAGGAACTGAGTTTCCCAGCCAAAAGCTAGCATCAACCATTAGACATGCACATTAATATTCTGATGATTCAGCCCTCAGACTTTGAGTCTTCTAGACAAAGGCATAGACTAGACATTGCAGAGCAATTGACAAGTTGTCCTGCTACATCCTGTCTGAATTCTTGATGCAAAGAAATGCTGAACATAATAAACCTCTAAGTCTTAGGATAATTTGTCATAATTTTAGGGCAGCAAATACACAAAACTGGCAGCCTTTAAAAGGGAGTTTCAGTAGAATGGTGGGAGTAAAAAGTATGAATGGGGTATATTCAAGAAAGAACAGAAAGCAAGGAACTGGACATACCTACCTAGTAATATAAAATATTTTCAACAATTTTTTTCTCTAAAGGAAAACAGTTGGATGGAGATACGGGGTCAAGAAAGAGGTTTTTTGTTTCTTTGTTTGTTTTTTAACATAGAAGAAAACAGAGCACCATAAATGACACAGAAGGATAAACTTCAGGAGAGAAAGAAGAATGGGATTTAATACACAAGTAGAGAGACTGACTTCAGATAGAAGTCTATATAGGGGTATCTGGGTGGCTTAGTCAGTTAAGTGTCTGACTTTGGCTCAGGTAATGATCTCAGAACTGGTGGGTTTGAGCCCCACGTCAGACTCAGTCCTGACAGCTTAGAGCCTGGAGCCTGCTTTGGATTCTGTGTCTCCCTCTCTCACTGCCTCTCTTTCTCAAAACTAAACATTAAAACAAAGACAGAAGTATATATAGTTTATCCACTTTAATGGAAATGTAGGCAGATTGCATTTCCATTAAATTGCAAGCAGGTGAATAGATGTGTTCATAGCATTTTACGGAAGTTTTATATTGCTTAATCAAAGTCTCATCAAGAAATTAATCAAAGTCTCATCATGAAAGATTTTTTTAAACGCTGTTTTAAATTTTTTTTAATGTTTTATTCATTTTTGAGAGAGAGATAGAGACAGCATGAGCAGGGGAGGGTCAGAGAGAGGGAGACACAGAATTCGAAGACAGGCTCCAGGCTCTGAGCAAGCTGTCAGCACAGAGCTGGATGCAGGGCTCGAACCCACGAACTGAAAGATTATGACCTGAGCCAAAGTCGGATGCTTAACTGACTGAACCACCCAGGGGCCCACAACATGAAAGACTTTAAAGAAACTTGGGGAGATACACCATGTTCAGAAATTGAAGGACTCAATACTATAAAGATGTTAATTCCTCCTAAGTTGATCTATTGAATCTTAATCAAAATTCTAAAAGTATTTGGGACACATGGGTGGCTCAAAAGGTTAAGTGTCTACCTTGTCCTTGGCTCAGGTCATGATCTCACGGTTTGTTGAGTTCAAGCCCTACATTGGGATCTGTGCTGACAGTTCAGAGTCTGCTTGGGATTCTCTCTCCTCTCTCTCTCTCTCTCTCAAAATAAATTAAAAAACTTAAAAAAAAAAAGCTATAAAAGTTTTTGTTTTTGTGGCGCTTGACAAGTGAATTCTAAACTATATGAAAGGGCAAGTGGTCAGAAAACAGCCTAGACCTTCATGAAGAAGCTGAGAAGACTTGCCTTAACACACGTTAAACTTATTAGAAAATTATATTAATTTTTATAGTATGTAATTAGCACATGGATCAGCAAACTGAACAATGGAACACATGTACAAAAAAGTCTTTCTAGACTCACACATTTATGGACCTATGATATATAACACAAGTGACGATGTAAATTAAGGGGATATAAGAACAATCCAAATAGGAGCATATTTTATATACTATGTTGAATTTTTTCCAGGTATACTGTGGTCCTGCATAGAATTTCCTCATTCTTTTTAACTAACTGCAAAGTATTTAGGGGGAGTTAAGCATAGATATACACCTCAATTTTTACATGATTCTTGCATTCCAATCCAGAAACAGAAACAATAAAACAGAACATAAAGAAAATATGGAGACTTTTTTATTTGCTTGGATTAGGCAAGCATTTCTAACAAAACTAGGTAAACTATCACAGATTTTTTAAAAATTCTACGTGTACAAAGATATCATTAAAAAATTAAAAAATAATCTAACACCTCCTTATAAAGACATCACGCTGTATTTTCTCTCACTGCACTGGGTAATAAACCCAAGTTATTCAATATTCTATCCCCCCAAAAGCTAAAATGTAAAACCCCAAAATGTAAAGAAAATATTTGTTATATATTGCACTCAAGACCTAATTTTCTTAATGTATAATGAATACCTGCAAACAAGAAAAAAAATCCAATAACCAACCATAAACAAGTAAATTAAAAAAGTGATCACCATGAAAGTCAGGATATCAATATTTTTGGAAGAAGGGAGAGAAAAAGGCAGGAGAGAACTGTGATTAGGATGGGCCAAATGAGAAACTTTTGAGGAAATTATCAAAGCTTTCTTTCTTGATCCGCATGGTGATAAAGGTGTTCACTTATAATAACATGGAATTTACACTTATTTTTATGTTTTTGTTGTATCTATATTTTATTTTGCAATAAAAAGCTAAATAACAAAAACAATCCAAGAGAAATGGGCAAAAGACAAAAATGGGGAATTAAAAAAAAATGAGATAGATCCTTTAATTATAGAAAAATGAATTTTTAAAAATTCATAAAAATTTTAAAAAAAATTAATGTTTATTTAATTTTCAGAGAGAGAGAGAGAGAGAGAACAGGGGAGGGGCAGAGAAAGAGGGAGACAGAGAATCCGAAGCAAAAAAATTTTTTTTTATCCAGACTAGCAATAATGAAAAATTTGATAAGAAGCAATATGAGAAGAACACAGAACAAGAGGCATATGTTGTTCATGAGTGCAATGTACTCTTCATAAACTAATCACTTTGTAAGATAATAAGCAATAGTCATCAAAATTTTAAATGCATTTAACTTCTGACCCAGAAATTCTATTCCTAGGAGTAATTCTACAGATAGATATATTTGCTTTAGTCTACACAGGTATGCTTTCTACAGCATTACTCAGAAAAACTTTGTCTGAACTCTACAATCAGACTGTCTAGGTTTAAATCCTGGCTTCAATACTTACAAACTGTGTAACTTTGGGCAAGTCACTTAAATTGCCTGTGCTTCTGTTTCCTTACCTGTAAAATGAGGATAATACTATTATCTCATAAAATTGTTATGATAATTAAATAAGTTAATATATATAAAGTTCTTAGAACTGTGGTTAGCATATAAAGTTATACCATTATTAGCTATTAACATTACTATTAACAATCTAAAGTCAACTAGTAAAAGACTAAATAATTTAATACCGTGTACAAAAATGTTTACACTAAACATCTTCCTTGCTATACATAAATGATATAGTTAAGTTCACAAAGACACAATCATTAACAATTTTAGAATATATATTCAAACAAAAAGTCAAACATGATATAAATATGTTTTAAATATACCTTAAGTTAGAAATTAAGGGCAAATTGATCTTTCCCCACTTTGTAGAATACTAATCAGTAAAGTACATGATAAGTATGCAAAAGAAATGTGAAATTGTGTGTACATGTATGTGGATAGATGTTCAACAAATTAGCTGAAATGGAAGTTCAATGCAGCATTAGAATACAAATAAATTAAAGCATGTAGAGGTTAAACTTTATCCCATTCCCACATTTTGTATCCTTAAATCTGCCTTTCTGGAAAGAGAGAAAGTCAATCTTTTGAGGATCTCAGTTAGTATTCCACTTCTCAGTCATTTATTGAAGAACAATATAGCTATATTTAGGGATACTACGCTATATAAACTTAAAAGATGTAATAAGAAATTAAAGAGACTCATCCTATTATTAGAAAAAGACAAATATACATGAAATAAAATAATAGAAAGTATCCATATAATTCTAAGCTGTATTCATTTATCTGACAAATATGTGCTTAATGTGTGCCATTTGTCAGATGCTATAGCTGCATAGGTGACCAAGTCTCTGTGTGCATGGAGTCTGTACTTTCACTAAGGAGAGAAAATATAAACAAATGGTCAACTAAATACCTGATATAATTTCAAATGTCAAAGTTTTGTTATGTGTTAAATTATACCAACATATGCTTTCAGGATTTAGGATAGATAAGATCAGAGAAATCTACCTGGAAGAACAAAAGACACTGCTTGGCACACAGTACTAGCTCCTTACCATTATCATTATTATCATTACTCTTATGATTCGTGTCATGGGCTCTAACAGATGAGAAGCTGTAAAAGCCAAGAATAGATTCCCTGTGGGGCTCCTTTTGAGGTACTAAAAACTTAAGACTGCGAGGCAAGGATGAGCATGACAAACTTGTGAAACACAAAAGAAAGTCTGATTAGAGTAGAAGGCAGAGAAGAAATGAGTCTTGCTAGGCAGGATGGGTCAAATAATGGGAGCCTTGGGAGCCTTTAAAATAAATAAATAAACAAACAAACAAATAAATAAATAAATAAAATGCTTTTAAAAATGCTTACTATGAGCAGTCCCTTCCCTGTATCTGATGGCCACATCAAACCAAAAGTAAAGAAATTTATCTGGTTTGAAATAGGCAAGTAGGAGGCTTTTGATTAGCCTTTTGAAAACCCCGTTTTAGAGCTGCCTGGGTGGCTCAATCAGTTAAGCATCCAACTCTTGGTTTCAGCTCAGGTAATGATCTTGTGGTTCGTGAGCCCAAGCCCCGCATCGGGCTCTGTACTGACAGCATGGTGCCTGCTTGGGATTGATTCTGTCTCCCCCTCTGTCTCACTCTGCCCTGTCCCTGCTTTCTCTCTTTCTCTCTCAAAAATATACTTAAAAAAAAAAAGCAGGAGGGAGGTCATTTTGACAAGTTGTATTTAAAGAACAAGTCGTATTCAATGTCTTTGTAAACATAGAATTCAATAGAAAAGAGAGCCTAGAAAAAACCCACACATATATGGTCAGTTTACAACAAAGGAGCCAAGAATATACAATAGGGAAAGAACAGTCTCTTCAATAAAAAGTGCTGGAAAAACTGGATAGCCACATGCAAAAGAATCAAACAGGACCACTAGCTTACACCTTACACAAATATTAACTCAGAATGGATTAAAGACTTGAATGTAAGACCTGAAACCACAAAACTCCGAAAAGAAAATGTAGGCAGTAAACTCCTTGGGGATATTTTTTTGAGGGGATTTGACACCAAAACCAAAGGCAACAACAACAACAAAATAAACAAATGTGAATTCAACAAACTAAAAAGTTTCTGCATAGCAAAGGGAACCATCAATAAAATGAAACTGGAATGGGAGAAAAGATTTGAAAATCATATATCTGATAAAGGGTTAATATACAAAATATATTAGAACTCGTACAACTCAAAAGAAAAAAAACTCGATTAAATAATGGACAGAGGATCTAAACCGACATTTTCCAAAGAAGAAAGATTACCAACAGGTATATGCAAAGATGCTCAGCATCACTAATCATCAGGTAAATGCAAATCAAAACCACAATTTCACCTCACACTTGTTAGAACGGCTATTTTCAAAAACACAAGAAATAATAAATGTTGATGAGAATGTAGAGAAAAGGGCACCCTTATGCATTATTGGTGGGAATGTAAATGGGTGCAGCCACTACAGAAAATATTTTGAATATTCCTCAAACACTTAAAAATAGAACTACCATATGATCCAGCAATTCCTCTTCCTGATATTTATCTGAAGAAAGTGAAAACACTAAATCAAAGATATATGCACCTCAATCCCTGTGTTCACTGCAGCATTATTTTACAATAGCCAAGATATGGAAACAAACTAAGTGTTCATAGACAAATGACGGGGTAAAGGAAATGTGGCATGTGTAAACACACACACACAGAAATATTATTCAGCCATAAAAAAGAATGAAATTTTGCCATTTGCAATAACAAGGGTGGACCTCAGGGGCATTATGCTAGATGAAATAAGTCAGAGCAAGACAATTATCAAATGATTTCATTTATAGGTGGATTGCTGAGGGAAAAGAATAGAGAAGAAAAGAAAAAAAAGAAAAGAAAGAAAACCAAGCTCGAGACACAAAGAATAGACTGGTAGTTGCCAGAGGCAGATTTGGACGAGGGCAAAATGGGTCAAGGGGGCCAGTGAGAAGGTGCAAACTTTCACCTATAAAACATAGCGACTATAGTTAATAATACTGAGTCAGATATTTTAAAGTTCCTAAGACAGTAGGTCTTAACAGCTCTCATCACAGAGGGAAAAAAAATTCTGTCACAGTGATAGATATTATTGAGATTTACTGTGGTGATCATTTTGAAATACTATACATACAAATATCCAATCATTCTGTTGTCCACCTAAACTAATACAGCTGACCCTGAACAACACAAGTATTGAACTACTCTGGTCCACTGAGACAAGGATTTTTTTTTTTTTTCCCCAGTAAATACACATACAGTACTGAAAACGTATTTCTCTTATGATTTTCCTAATAACATTTTGTTTTCTTTAGATTTATTGGAAGAATACAGTATGTAATACATATTAATATAAAATATGTTAATAGCCTGTTTATGTTATGGATAAGGCTTTGGATCAACAACAAGCTATTAGTAAATCTTAGGGGAGGATCCTAAGTTATACGTTGATTTTCCAAAGTATGGGGGAGGGGAGAGATGTGCCCCTAACCACTCGGCTCTCCTTTTGTTCAAAGGTCAACTATACAATGTTGTTTATGAATAATACCTCAATTTTAAAAGGGGGGAAGATAGTAATTGTTATGTGTTTTTATTTTTATTATGCCTTTATTTTATTTTGAGAGACAGAGAGTGAGCAGAGGAGGGGCAGAGAGAGAGGGAGACACAGAATCTGAAGCAGGTTCCAGGCTCCGAGCTGTCAGCACAGAGCCCGACGCGAGCCTCGAACCCAGGACTGTGAGATAATGACCTGAGCCGAAGTCAGACTGAGCCATCCAGGTGTCCTTGTTATGTGGTTTTTACCACAATAATTTTTTCTCCCCTCCTTTGTTTATTTATCTAAAGAAGAGAGCTGTCGAGAAGGCCGTTAAGACATGAAAGCACAAAGAGGCGCCTGGGTGGCTTAGTCGGTTAAGCGTCCGACTTTCGCTTAGGTCTTGATCTCGCGGTTCGTGGGTTCGAGCCCCGCGTCGGGCTCTGTGCTGACTGCCAGCTCAGAGCCTGGAGCCTGTTTCAGTCTGTGACTCCCTCTCTCTCTGACCCTCCCCTGCTCACGCTGTCTCTCTCTCTCTCTCTCTCTCCTAGAAATAAATAAAACATTAAAAAAAATTTTTTTTAAAAGACATGAAAGCACAGACCTGGACGATGGCAGAGGGGTAATGGTCCTACCACGTATCCTTGGGTTTCTTGACCCAGCTGGTTCGTTCTTTCTTTCTTTCTCCTTTCTCTCTCTCTCTCTCTCCCTAGAAACCAGTAAGATGCGCTCACCACCCCTTCGCGTGTGGGAGAATCAAGACGCTCAGGGAAGAAGACAGTTTGGAGCACCTGAAGGGAGGCCCGCAAGTTAGTCACTTCCTTCGGTTACCTGCCCCTCGGTCATTTCCCCCTAACCCATCGAGTTCTAGAGCGGGAAAAGAGCGGGCCACAGGGCCTGGCGGGACGCCCAGAATCCAGTTCCCGTGAGGTAAGGGTCTCACCATCCGGGCTACAGTTCTATATCCTGGGAGCCTTCCAAATTTCAACCGTTTAAGGCGCTCTCCCTTACCCACCTCTTCACCACAGAGCCACTGACTACAGGTCACCTCAGGCCGGCATACACGGGACTTCCCGGCCTAGGACCCGAGCGCGCGCTGCTTGCTGATTGGATCTGCTCTAGCTCACCCCAGCCAATCCCGAACCTCGCTCGGCCACTGACGTACAGGTTGCGCCGCTTTGCTGATTGGTAGCGGAGCTGTGCGTGTCGCGCCTTGTCTGACAACTCGGGTAACATGGCGTCGGAAGGTGGAAGCGATTCACAGCTGAGAAGAAGAAGGCGCCGGGACACGGAGGAGCCGGAAAAAAGAGAACTCAGCGAAAGAGAGCTGACAGCGGTTATGGCTATGGCCCAAGAGAACGAAGAGGAAAATGAAGAGCGCTGGGTTGGGCCTTTACCTGTAGAGGCGACATTGGCCAAGAAGAGGAAAGGTAGCTACAAGCGATAGACACAGGGCGAGTTGGAATCTGCTTCCCAGACTGGGAAATTTCAAACTAGACCCAAAAATCAGATGGTGTGTGATTGCGGGGTTTTCTGCCCTCAGAACGGAGTGTCAGCTTCTGTTTTCTGGCCATTCTCTACTTGCACGGTCTCCCCGAAATAATACTTTGGGCTGAGTACAGCATCTTTTTCTGATATCTAACAATGTTAGTCACAGATGTGTTAAAATAACGTTTTCTAATAAATTCTAAAGCTAACTTATGCCACTACTTGGTATGTGCTAGGCGCCTGTCATTTAATCCCTACAGCAGGCACATTAGGTTGGAATTTCTGTCTCCAGTTTAGCAAACGTCAGAGTCCAGTTCTCTCGAAGGCTTTTATTTCAGGGATGCAGTTAGTCTTTCGGCGCACGCGGGAGAGGGGCCGAGATGGCAGTGCCTGTTTTGAATCGTAAAGAGTAGGTAAAGATAATTTTAATCCTGTCTCTTCCAGTAATGAGTTTCTGACCCAGGAGAGTTACAGAAGTTTCCTGGATCACAATTTTCTCATCTAAAACCGGCAGTCTGTGGTTTTCAGACCACACGCAAGAGATACCAAGGCCTGAAGTATTTTCCAACTTTCGTGGAATAGCGACCAAGTATTATCAAATAAAAAGGGTAGGGAAGGAGGTTAAGTTTTTCTTGTTTTCAAAAGTTGTTCTATAAAATGCCTTTCTTGGTGTAAAACCATAAAAATACGATTTTTCTGTAAGGTCAAATTTTACTTTATCACTCTTTGTGCTTCAAATTTGTCAGCGATTTCTCATTTTAAAATCAAAGTCCAAACTCCCTGTCATCCATACAAGGTCCTTCTTGGTATGATCTCTCCTTACCTCACCAGCACATTCCCATTGCTTCTGTTTCCTGGCTCTCTTCCTTATGCTGTACTCTAGCCATATTAAAACACTTGAGAATGCGATATGTGCTTTTTCTTCTTTGAATGCCTGCCTACCAGGATATTATGATGTATACCTGAAATTATTTCCCGCACTTCTTTTCACTTGGCGAACTGTTGCCCAACTTTAGCACTCATCTCCAACTAACACCTCCTCTTAGAAACCTGTCATTTCTCCAGTATGGGCTGGGTTCCTAAAGAACATTGATCTCAGTCACCTGAGTGGTCAGTCGGTTAAGCATCCGACATTGGGCTCAGGTCATGATCTCACATGGGTTCGAGCCCCCATCGGGCTCTGTGCTGACAGTTAAGGGCCTGGAGCCTGCTTTGGATTCTGTGTCTCCCTCTCTCTGCCCCTCCCTGGCCCTCGTTCTGTTTCACAAAAATGAGTAAAGGGTTAAAAAAAAAATTGATAATAACTCCAGGATATTTTTTTTTTTTCTGAGAGAGAGAAACAGTGTGAGCAGGGGAGGGTCAGAGAGAGAGTGAGACACAATCAGAAGCAGGCTCCAGGCTCTGAGCTAGCTATCAGCACAGAGCCCGACTTGGGGCTCGAACCCAAGAACTGTGAGATCATGACCTGAGCCGAAGTCGGACACTTAACGGACTGAGCCACCCAGGCACCCCACCAAGGTAATTTTTAACACATGAGTTTACAGGTAGCTTTCAAATTTTACGTTTCCAAATTTTGAAGAAGCTTCTTTTTTGAACATTGTACATTGACACCCTTAAACTGTTACCTTTTTTTACAGTTAGATCTTTCTGTTAAATGTTTCCATAGCAGCTAACTCATTGCACTTGATACGTTTTGTGATTGCATATGCATTCTTGACTGAGCAATGTTTCTTACCACTGCAAAGACTGTAAGCTTATAAGAGCAAAGATCATGCCTGCTTTGTTCCACTGCTTTGCACAGAACAAGTGTTCAGTAAGTATTTATTGAATGAATGAATATTACAGAGTAAATGCTCTTATAGTTGTAGTAGAATATGTTTGCATATCCTTTTTTATGGAAACATTAAAAATATCAAACTGCTGATATTAGTATTAAGAGACATAGATCTTACAAACTTAATTGAGACAGACGGCAATAATTAGGTGTGAAAATGTTTACATTTAACTAGCTGCTTATTGTATTTAAGCTAGTCAATAGTGTATTCAGTTTGAAAAAAAACCTGAAACTTATAATTTTTTAATGTTTATTTATTTTAGAGAGAGATAGAGAGAACGAGGGAGGGGCAAAGAATCTGAAGCAGGCTCCAGGCTCTGAGCTTGTCAGCAGAGAGCCTGCCGCTGGGGCTTGAATGGATGAACTGTAAGATCATAACCTGAGCCAAAGTCAGATGCTTGACTGACTGAGCCACTCAGACATCCTGAAATCTGAAATTTAAAAACATGTATGAAATGTTCAAAAAATAATCATTGAAGATTCTATCTAAAAGGGAGTTTGGGGCACCTGACTGACTTGGTCACTAGTGCATAAAAAACATTTATTAAATTTTCAAAAAATTGAGACAGAGAGAGAGACCAATTGTGAGTGGGACAGGCTCCAGGCTCTGAGCTGTCAGTAGAGAGCCCACCACTAGGCTTGAGATCATGACCCAAGTTGAAGTCAGATGCTTAACAGACTGAGCCACTCAGGTACACACACCCCAATTTTTTTTTTAATAAAAAGACAGGAGTGTGACAGGTATTTAGCTTTCTAGAAAAAGAGCCATTCCTTTTAACGTGTTCTTTGGACACTGGATTTTTGTATGCATTTTCAGAAAGACATTATAAATTATTATATGACACTACCTTTAATTAACCAAATGGTTTCTCAAAGACAGGAACTATATGTGTCCCTTATTTATGTCCATGTGCCTTGTAACCTGTTTTGTTGTTTTCAGTAAATACCTGCTCAAGTAAACTAACAAACAGCAAATGGAATATGTAGCAGGATTATATTAGCTGCATAAAAGAAGTCCCAAAGTAAACAGTCTAGGATTGGTATGGAGGCTTCAAAGGGACCCAGGCTCTTTGCAGCTTTCTGCCCTAACATCACTAGGATATGGCCCTCATCTTTGTCCTGAGTGATTATTAGAATCAGTGGTCTTATCCCAGTTCCCAAGTATAGGACTGAGAAAGGGTATAATGGAATACGTTTTGAAAGAGACTTCTTGATTGTCACACAACACTTCTATTTCATTGGCACGTGGTCACACCTAATTCTGGAGAAGGTGAGAAAGATCCTCTTATAGCTGACTGTCAGTTTGCACATATAAAAATGGTGGTTCTGTTATTAAAGATGAAGGGAAAGTAGTTCATTGGGCACAGCTTTGACTCTGCTATACAATAGTTATGAAAAACTATGAAACATCTCATTATGTGTAATGTAGCAGTATTTTGGAGAGAGAGCAAGCGAGAGAGAGCAGGTGTATGCTCTCATAGGGAGAGAGAGAATCCCAGGCAGTCTCCACACTTATTGTCGAGCCAGATGTGGCTTTCTATTCCACAACTGTGAGATCGTGACCTGAGGTAAAATCAAGAGTACATCACTTAAGCAACTGAGCTACCTGGGCGCCCCTGTAGCAACTTTTTATAGGCATGTTTGGCCATAATTGGATTATTTTATTAGACACACATATAATGTCAGTTTTTGCTAGTAAAATTGTTCATGGCTCTTGTAATGAAGTGACTTATTTCCTCGGTTTAACATTTTTACAAATGTTTTGCCCCTGGAAAAAGTTGGGAAGTCCAGGACTTTCTCAGCTCCAAAAACCTATTTAGTATTTCATCATGTTTATCTGCTTCAACCCCACTATCAGTGACCTCCAATAGGATTAGTGCCTTAAAGATACACACACATAGGGTGGCCACTGGCCTCTTGTTAGTTATTTAAATTAGAACTAATAATTGGCTCTACATGGTTAAAAAGATGGTTGTGATGCTTTCATGAAACTTTTTAAGATTTTGGGTTTTTAAAATTTTTTTAATGTTTACTTTTTTTTTGAGAGAGAGAGAGGAAGAGCACAAGTGAGAGTGGAGCAGAGAGAGAAAGGAAGACACAACCTGAAGCAGGCTCCAGGCTCTGATCTCGTCAGCACAGAGCCGGACACGGGGCTCAAAGCTACGATCTGTCAGATCATGACTTCAGCCGAAGTTAGATGCTTAACCGATTGAGCCACACAGGTTTTTGGTTTTTTAATGGAGCCTTAATGTGAAGCCAGAATCACTCAGTTAAGTTCTGAGGGCAGTTAAGCATCTATACAATATCTGAGACCTGTCATGCCTAACTAAATAATGGTGTTATTCACTACTATGAAATAAGTAACAGACCGGATTTTTTTTCATTACATATGAATTGAGAGAAATGTAAGAAGATCTATTAGAAAATAGAATTTTTTATGGGAGAGAAAGGGAGGGGCAGAGAGAGAGAGAGAGAGAATCCCAGGAGGGACAAAGGGAGGGAGAGAGAGAAGTGGGGCTCACCCAAAGTGGGCCTCGTGTTTACTGGAAGTGGGACTCATGTTCACCCAAAGCAGAGCTTGAGCTCAACCAACATGGGACTCGAACTCACAAACCGTGAGATCACGACGTGAGGCAAAGTCAGATGCTTAACAGCTGAGCCACCTATGTGCCCAATAGAAAATAGAATTTAGAAAACTCTTACAGAAAATACAAAATAGTATAGAGTTCCAGTTAAAAATAAACTTTTCTTGGGG